TGTGTGTGTGTGTGTGCGTGCGTGTGTGTGTGTGTGTGCGTGTGTGTGTACCATATCTTTAAGAAAACAAATTCTTGGAGAGAGATAGAGGGGGGGAGGGTCTTTCATTAGCTGGTGTAACTAGAAGCTGGTGGTGGTGGTGGTGGTAGGGAAGAAGAAAAAAGATGAGGAAGAGGAGGAGGAAGGAGAAGAGGAAGAAAAATAAGAAGAAGAAAAAGAGGAAGAGGAAGAAGAAGAAGAAGATGAATAAGAAGGAGAAAGAAAAAGAGGAAGAGGAAGAGGAAGAAGAAGCAGAAGAAAAAGCGTAAGAGAATGAAGAGGAAAAAGAGGAAAAAGAGGTTACTCGGACTCCATTCTCTATACACAACAGGTGGCAGACACTAATTATCGGAAAATACCTCATTCTTGTTTTTTCTTCTCTTTTTTGATTCCTTTATCCTACGACCAATATCATAGTAGTTAATGAGGGTTATTATTACCTGCTAATTACTACCACCCAGGTACTGACAGCAGGTCGGGTCAGATTATTGATGAGTCACGTGTTATCAGCTCCCGCCCCCCCCCGTCTCCCCTGGATCAGCTTCCAGCGTCTAATCACATTATGGCTCGGCAGTTTATAAACACTTCAGGGAGAACAGGCTGAGCAGGTGTAAGGGAGAGAAGGTCGACAGGTTGGAGCAGGTGCAGTGAGAGAAGGTCGACAGGCTGAGCAGGTAAGGGAGAGAAGGTCGAGGTTGAGCAGGTGTAAGGAGAGGCGTCGACAGGTTGAGCAGGTAAGGGAGAGAAGGTCGACAGGTTGAGCAGGGTGCAAGGGAGAGAAGGTCGACAGGTTGAGCAGGTGTAAGGGAGAGAAGGTCGACAGGTTGAGCAGGTGTAAGGGAGAGAAGGTCGACAGGTTGAGCAGGTGTAAGGGAGAGAAGGTCGACAGGTTGAGCAGGTGTAAGGGAGAGAAGGTCGACAGGTTGAGCAGGTGTAAGGGAGGGGAGGTCGACAGGTTGAGCAGGTGTAAGGGAGAGAAGGTCGACAGGTTGAGCAGGTTGACAGCAGGACGAAGAATCAAAATGAAGAGAAAACGAAACATGTAGATATATAAATAGAGAAGAAATGATAGAATGAAAGGAGAAGAATACCATGGTAATGAAGGAAGGGTGTAGGAGAAAGGTGGATGGAAGGGGAGATGAGGGGAAGAGACGGTGAGGTAAGGGGAATGAAAAGTGAGGGTAAGGCGAGGGTGACAAGGAGAAGGAACAAGCAAAACAAATAAAGATAGGGTAAAGCAAAGGGGGAGGAGAGAGGCAAGTAGGTTAGTTTGTTTATTATAATTTTAATATTTGAAAATGGTTTAATTGTTAAGTTTAGTTAGTTGTGAGAGTTAGGATCCCTTGAGTGAGTGATACACCACACATAGAGCTGCTGACGGCACGTAACATAAACATTTCAATAGCTACCGAAAAATTTGTTCCTAGTTACTGCTATTGATAAGTGAACGTGTTTAGATAATATGAAAGAAATTTATAATGATGAACGAATATTGAAATTGGGTCTTGGTTCACTAATATGCGTTTCTTAATTATCAATACAGTTAAAATAATGATGAAGATGATAATAATGATAACGATGATGATAATAATGATGATATTAGAATAAACTTTGAAAAAAAAATCACATTACAGTTTAGACACAAAAATAAATAAAAAAATAAATAAAAAGTTTTCCCCCCAATACTCCCACGTAGAGAGACTTCTACTCCTGCCGCTAAAGGCCTCTGGAGTTTCTTTTTTTGTGAAACTCTAAACAACACCGAGCCTCTTTGTGGCACTGGGGGCATTCTGCTGTTATTACCACCTTCCCGGCGGTTAACGCTGGGAGATCTGGCTAAGTGAGAAGCCAAGTAGGTAGTAGTGGTATCTCGAGGTGGTTTTTTTTACTCTTTGGAATATAAACCGAGATATTACTACACGATAAACCCGAATTAGTTAAACCATCTGGCCTCTTTTAATACTTATAGTCTGAAAAATGTAAACCCCGAACTAGCTAAACCATTAAACTAATTTTTAAAACTTATTAGCCTGAGAAATATTATAGATAAACACAACGGGCATGAGTTGTTTGCCAAATACAATTAAACCAGTTTGATTTATATAATATTTTGTTTAAGTTGTTTTAAAATGGTTTAGGTAATTTATGGACCACCCTGTATTGTTTCAAGTGATTAAATCTGTTTATATATTGTTGTAATCACGCTAAATTTACATCTGGGTTTCACGAGCTCTGAATCGCTATTGCTTCACTGTCACAAACTGAACCATCTTGTGTGTACCACTGAGCGCACACACACACACACACACACACACACACACACACACACACACGAGCATTGAAAGAAACAGTCATGGTTTATTTTCCAGACATTAATTGAACATAGACAAGAGCAGTTTGAACCAAGAGGAGGATTGCGGTGAGGTAAGTGTCCAACCTGTTCAATACTGTAAGACACGAC